GAAGACAGTTCTCTCTTCTCTACCTTTCTGTTCTATCCCGGCCTATTCTGTCTGGGTCTTCAGCAGGTGGAATGAGGCCCACCACCACACTGGGGAGGACCATTTGCTTTACTCAGCTCCCCATTCAGTTCGTAAGCTCACCCAGAAACACCCTCACATACATGCTCAGAGTTATGTCTAGTCAAACATCTTGGCACCTGTGGCTGTCAGGTTCACACATGATGTTAATGAGTGAGCACCATCGCTGGATCCTCCTGTACAGTGCTGGATAGTTGTCAGTTCTGCTGTAACAATGTGAAAAATGCCTCGTTGTGGGCTCTATCACGGCCTGCCTCTGTGGTCCTCTTCCTGCAGAACGGGGTGACTGATGACATGTCGGGTGACAAGCACCTGAATGTGAAGGGCACAGCCCCCCACTGTCCTCCATAAACCACTCTGTCTTCCCCATCATTTGTGCTTGCTACCAGGTGAAGGCTCCTTTACACAGACCATCAGCACAGGGTGCTTGCCTCCTGGGTTGCTGCATCTTCCCCGGGTATCACACCCTGCCAGTTGTGGGCATGAAGAAAAATGTTTAACCACTCTGTCTGGAGCTAAGAGAACTCTGCTTGGCCACGGTGGCTGATTTATGCTTAACCAGATTCTTCTGTCACTTGTGTTTAGGAGGGCATTTGACCAAGCCCTTGTAGAAAAGCAGCCTCAGGAGAGGAAGCTCCTGGGCAAACTCCACTGTCAGTACTCCCGCTGGAGCTGAAACCTGAGGTTGCCCGGCAGCAGCCATTGTAAATCACTCAGGTGTGAAGCCTCTGCATGCTCTGCTTTCGCTAACCTTAGGGCTTTGTGTTGACAGCCGTTTGAAATAGCGGGAAGTTTACATTGGGAAATAATGCTTTTCTCGTTTGAATGTGAAGTTTCCTTTTGAGATCAGTATATCACTCCCTGACATGCTTTGAATAACAGTCAGAATTATGATTCACGTCTCAGGCTTGTTTTTTGCACTTGTCTGTCCACACTGTGCTGTTCTCATCCCCAGAAAGCCCCAAAGTGTTACACAGGTTGTCAGCCTGAGCTGCCTCGGTAACTGGGTCACAGATTCCTAGACATGACCTGTTGGTCATGCTGGCAGTTTGTCCCCCCTCTTTTCTTCCTCTGCAGTTCTAAGAAACTGAACTTAGGATCACGCATGTTTAAAGTAGCCAGTTAAGTCCTTTCAAAGGAAATGGCTCTCAAGTCCAGTTAAGACAGTCAGCCCATCTTGTTTCCACAAATGCTGTTTATGTGGCTTGTTTGAGGTTGGAAATGACAACACAGAGGACTGCCCTGGCATCTTGATGTTAAAAATGAACCCTAACCTCAGTCAGGCGATGAGGAGCTCAGTACCTTGACTTGAAAAGGCTGCAACCGAAGCAGACTCAGCTCCTTGGCTGCACCCCAGGGCCAGACAAGGCTCCCAGGACTGGTCTCCACACTGAAAGAGCAGACACACAGAGTTTTTATGCACCTCTCCTCCACCCTCATTACACACATGAAAAGAAACTTTAATCTTTGCCTGATAAACACATTTTGGGACAGAAAGCCTGTTGAACTTTTATACAGCAGTGTAAGGGTAGGTTCTGGCTTTGATAGCAGATTCTGACTTTACCTTCCACTGCTGTTTGCTCTTCCCTATATAACATCTGTTCCTTCACCTCCCCACTTCCCAGTCCACCCCCCCTACCCCCACCCCAGCCTGCCTTTGCTTCATTCATTCAGCTGTATCTCTTGGTAATTCCAGGTCCACTGTTACAGCTCTAACTCATAATTTTTCTCCCCCCCCCCTTTTTTTTTTACTATAGTAAAATACACATCATATCATAACCATTTTTAAAAGCACATTTCAGTGGTTTTTAAGTGCGGTTACTCTGTTGTGAGGCCATTACACCAACCATTTACAGAGCTCTGTGTTTTTCCTAACTGCGCTCTGTCCCTGGGAGATGGTAGTACCTTCTTCCTTTGTGTGAGTTCATGCTGAGTAAATGACCACATTATAACCTGGTAGTTTTCCCTGCAGTTCTCTGCTGGGGAAGGCTGCACTGTTCACACTGAAGGGCAGTCTGCATGATGCAAGTCTCATTATAAACCAGTTAATCAACTCACTGATTTTTTGTTTAAGACCTGCTGGTCTGTTCTGCTGATACGAAGAGCAGCAGGACTTTGGCACCTGCTGCTTCCCCAAGGCGAGGAAGGGGATGTATGCGGGGCCCAAGTGGGGGCTCTTGGTTCTTCATCAGAGCCCAGCACTGACCAGTCACACTTAAGTTGGCCATGGACTAGGAACAAAACTTAGAGGTGAAGTGTATTAAAGACTACAAGATTGTGTGATTTGGGGTATTAATACTACCACATGAAGAATAAATTAGAGCAACTCTAAGTAAAGATCTCTTATTAGAAGACACGCTTTCTTTGAACTTGAGAGAGCCATATTTGGGACAGTTAGCAAATGTTTGATGAGTCCGTCCTGCCCCTTCAGGGCACAGACTGGAGCCCAGTACTTGCTGGGGAGCCTTGAGTGCCAGTCTCGGTCCCATCTTGGTTTGTCTCCAGCAGAGCTTGTTTTGCCTTAATCGCTGGTCTCAGCTTCCTTTGCCTCTAGCACTGGAACCTTTATCTTGTGGGGCCCCCAAAAGCCCATGAGGGGCAGAAACACAGAAGTTAATGTCTGAACTAACAATCTTGGTCTTTCCGTGTTGACCAGATTGAAACATGAATAGGAAGAAACTTGCATTTTGACTTCAGTCCCTGCGGAGAGCTGGGAAAATTTCCCTGGGGAAAATTTGGGTGTGCCTGTGTAAGTGTGATGTTCGGTCGTGACTGGTGCATAAATACTTCTTAGACTATTGTGCCACTCAGCTTCAGAAAGGGGGGAACCACTGTTGTGTACAACAACATGGAGGAATGCCCAAATAACTGATGAGTGGAAGACTACAGACTAAAGTAAGTACACACCATGTGTTTGTTCCGTTATGTAAACTTCTAGAAAGTGCAAACTAACATAGAGATAGAAAGCAGAGCAGCCTTTGCTGGAAGGGAGGACCAGGCTGGGGCAAGGTTTGTAGTGGCACAAGTTACTCTGTGGAGTTGGGGAGATGCTCACAGTCTGCCTGTGGGGGTGGGGCCCTGAACGCATACACCTCAACTCAGCAACAGAGCATGGTGAGTGAGTGCAGTATTTTGTGCCCCACCTATATCTTTGTAGCACTAGAAGAAAGAACACTTTTAATGGTAAGAAAGCTGAGGGAGTGGCGGGGAGGGTAACTGGACTTTTGTTAGATTTGAGGTCAGATGTTGATATGACATCTCTGAGCCGCAGTTTCCTCAGCCCTGAGAGGCGGATGCTGCTCTGAGACTGTTTGTGGAGGGCACGTGTGGGCGCGAATGCACAGCATGTAGTAAGAGCTTCCAACAGTAGCTGCCATTAAAAAGAGATCATTTGTGCCATTGTTACTATTTTAGGAATATGTCACCATGTATTTTCCTGGCAATTAAACTGGAGTCTTACTAAATCATCTGTAAAGAGAAAGGTTTTACAAAAGGTCAGCAGCACTGCATTTGTTAATGTACACGAGTGGCCTCTCAGCTGGAAAGTGAGCCAAGTGCTGGGCCAGCAGCCCAGAAAGGGCTCATCTGCCCCTCACACCGCAGGTACTTGGAAGATTCTTGACCCGTGGCCTTGGATGTGAGTCTGATTTCAGGTCCACTTTGCTTCCCAGTGTTTATCTTACAGTGGGAAACCAGTCCCTCAAATCATTCGATGTTTTATTTTTTCCTCTGTTGCTTTCTCAGCTCTCAGCAACCCTTTAACCTTTTTTTTTAACCTTCATCTCAAAAAAAATGTTCACTGTCACATCGTGGAGAAGGGGTGGTCTTGAAAACCTTTAAGACATGGCTACTTGGAATATAATTTTAGAAACAAATTGGAAAAGTGTTATTATAGCTGTCCTCTGTAGCTGCTGTATGTTGCCATCCCATTACATTCACACTCAGAAACCCCGAGGGAGCCAGCCACACCACCCGGCAGCTGTGTGCAAAGTGCACTGTTTCACCTCTGTCAACTACAGCCACATTGGTTCTTGTCTGGCCCGAGTCTCCAGGTGCAGGGATTGTCCTCTCTGCCTCCACCGGCTGGCTGGGCCAGCTGGTCAACTCCTCACTCCCTGCCCATGGAGTGAGGACCCCTACACTCACATTGCACTCTCCACTCTCCCTCCTTTGTTTTTTAGGACCAGGCAGCCCTTTCCCATCTTCACCTGGGGTATGCTGCTGCCACCAGACTCCTCTCCAGGGAGCACAAACAGTGCTCCCAGAACCCAGAGCTCGGTGGGCGCCCCTTTGCAGCAGCTTGATGGACCTCTACTCCCACTGACCTTGTGCTCAGACCCTGATAACAATGTGGGCCCGAGCCCACATGGGGTTGCTAGAAGGGAGGTGCACACGTTTTCACATGGGGTACATGGGTGCACTATATCTTTACCCATATGCAGGGCCCAGACTTGTAAGTTTACCCATAAGTGTTAAGTTCGGGAAAGATAAGGTTAATCTTTTAAGCGTATACAGCAAAAGCTTTTATTTTTTTTTTGGGGGGGGGGAGGAATCTTACTTTTTAACTGTAGCTTGTATTAAGCTTTAATCTTCATTATCATTTATTTGTTTGCCATCTTGCTCTCCCTTCATTGTCCATAGCTCTTCCCCAGAGTCCTGTGCTCCTGGTCTGTTAAGTTCCCCTCTTCTCAGAGCCATGATGAAGGGTCTCGGCCACCTCATCACTCATACTTACCCTTTCTGGCCCTTCTAAGCAACATCAGGCAGCCCAGCAGGAAGACTTTCAAGGGGGTTGGGGGAGGATTTGGAGGGAAGAAGGAAGGAAACCAAAGGAGACAGAGGATTCAGGGTGTCACAGCCTCTGCCCGCAGAGGAGCCTTGGGGGTCCTGGGTCTTTAACCTGTTTTTCATTGCCTCTCCAGGTGCCAGAGTCCAGCATCCCATCTCTACATGAAGTGAAGTGAGGGTGTCTAGCAGAAAGGGCTTCGCCCTGCCCAGGGGCAGAATGACCAAGCCGCGGCTTTTCCGCCTGTGGCTGGCCCTGGGGTCGGTCTTCATGATCCTGCTGATCATCGTGTACTGGGACAACGTGGGCACTGCCCACTTCTACCTGCACACAGCGGTCTCCAGGCCGCACTCTCCGGGGCCGCTCCCCACCCCGGGGCAGGGGCCGGAGAAGGTGCTTTCGGCAGACGTGGACGAGTTTTTGGAGAAGCTCCTCAGTTCTGGCACGAAGCAGAATGTCCCTCCCAGCAAAAAAATGGAGCAGCCGCCCGTCTCGGGCAGGCCTGTGCTGGGCAACATGGAGGAGAGTGTGCGGGGCTACGACTGGTCCCCCCATGACGCCCAGCAGAACCCCGACCCTGTGGAGCAGCAGGCGGAGCGGAGGAGCGTGCTGCGGGAGTTCTGCGCCAACGCCAGCTTCGTGTTCCCGGCCAAGGAGCGCTCCTTCGATGACATTCCCAACTACGAGCTGAACCACCTCATCGTGGACGACCGCCACGGCGTCATCTACTGCTACGTGCCCAAGGTGGCCTGCACCAACTGGAAGCGCGTGATGATTGTGCTCAGCGAGAGCCTCCTGGACCAGGGCGTGCCCTACCGCGACCCCCTGGACATTCCCCGCGAGTACGTGCACAACTCCAGCACGCACCTGACCTTCAACAAGTTCTGGCGCCGCTACGGGAAGTTCTCCCGCCACCTCATGAAGATCAAGCTCAAGAAGTACACCAAGTTCCTCTTCGTGCGGGACCCCTTTGTCCGCCTCATCTCCGCCTTCCGCAGCAAGTTCGAGCTGGAGAACGAAGAGTTCTACCGGAAGTTCGCAGTGCCCATGCTGCAGATGTACTCCAACCACACCAGCCTGCCCGCCTCCGTCAGCGAGGCCTTCAGCGCGGGCCTCAAGGTGTCCTTCTCCAACTTCATCCAGTACCTGTTGGACCCCCACACGGAGAAGCTGGGGCCTTTCAACGAGCACTGGCGGCAGGTGCACCGGCTCTGTCACCCCTGCCAGATAGACTATGACTTTGTGGGGAAGCTGGAGACACTGGACCAGGACGCTGCCCAGCTGCTGCGGCTCCTCAAGGTAGACAAGAACCTCCACTTTCCCCCCAGCTACCGGAACAGAACTGCCAGCAGCTGGGAGGAGGACTGGTTCGCCAAGATCCCCTTGGCCTGGAGGCAGCAGCTGTACAAGCTCTATGAGGCAGATTTTGTTCTCTTTGGCTACCCCAAGCCTGAGAACCTGCTTAGAGACTGACGGCCTTCAGGGGCACATCCTGAACACCAAGAAAACTGTGCTGATGTTGTGACTGTAAGTGAAGGGTCTGCTGAGCCATGGCCAGATTTCCTGAGGGCGGCTGACCCGTGGCCACACGCCTTTCCTAACGGCCTCCCTCCCGGTCTGGCACTTGGCAGTTCTACAGTGCTCCTGGAATTGGCCACGCCCACACTCCGGTTTTTAAAATAATCTACTGTTTTGCAATCTAGACTCACTGTTGACTCCACTGCCTCTATTCATTGAGTACGGTGTTAATATTGTTTTTTTTTTTAAGATTAATATATTTCAGATATTTAATATGAAAAGTGGCAAGGGGAATGATGGAGTAAAGAGTCGCATCTGCTCTGCCTGCCCTGGTGCTTATTCTGGTGGCGAGGTCGTTGTAGGCATGGTGATGGCTGATGTGCAGGCCCCAGAAACTCCACCCGAGGAAGGGAGGTTTGAGGTTTCCTGGTTGTCTTCAGCAAGAAAGGAGGAACATAAATTTGAAATCAGGCTTGATCTGTATCTGTAAAAAGGGAGTCGACAAACCTTCAAAAGTGAAAGCCCTTTGTTGTGTGATAGAGCTGTGAAGAGGAAAATGGTAAAACAAAAGGGTTTGGTATTTGAGATCAAGTCACAACAGTGGGGTTTTAACTCCAGCTGTTCCCTTTCATTTTTAGCTCAAGGGTGGGTGTTGTAGGAATTCACCCTAGGGTCCGTTTCTCTGCTCCAGCAAGGTGAGGCCCAGGGTGCTTTGGACTGTGGCCTGGCTGCTTGGCCTCAGCTCCATGAGAACCCCCCCTCAAGGACATGCCTGCACCTGTCACCGGTGAGACTCTCTTAATATCTAGGTCAAATTCCTTTGCAGTTTTTGCTCTGAGTCTAATTGGTGAAAAATTGGCAGCAGGTGTGTGGTATTTGGGTATTGTTTGACCGTGTCTTTGTCATCTGTAGTGTTTGGTCCTCAGTGCCCACAGAGGTGTGGGCAGCGCACTTAGGAAAGATACACTCGGGTCTAAGTGTGTGTGTCCCTGCTTTTCCTGGCTTAGAGGTGGCACTGAGACTCTCTTCCCACACTTGGGGATTCGCTGGTGTTAGAAACCACCTGCTTGCCTTCTTTTTTTTTTTTTTTTTGAGGCCCCTCTTTTTATTTAAAAGCCGAAAACAACCCACAACAAAGATACTAGACCCAAGGAGTCCAGTTTTAGAATAATTAGCGCAGGGCCACTGTCGCCTGCCTCTCTGCCAGGACACCTGTTCCCCCAGGAGTTGTCTGTCACCTCGTGCCCCGACTGGGTTTTAGGTCACCAAGTGGACGAGGTGGCTCTGCCTTCTAGGAACTTGGTGGTCTAACGTGTGAGAGTGAGAGGGGCCCCTTTCTAAGCCAGTGCTTTCAGGGGAGAGCATGAAGGCGGCTTCCTGTGAAGGAAGCAGTATTTGGGCTTGGCCGGAAGGGTAGGTGAGCTTTTAGTGTTTGGGGTAGCATGGGTAGCATCATGTGGGGGGCAAGGTCCCCCTTGCTGGCATTTGTTGCTCCCCTTTGAAGCTGATGGATTGTCATGTCTTCTCTACTGACACAGCAGCAAAGACTAAGGAGAGCCAGGGCCTGGATCTAGGTGTGACTGCGGCCATGGTGGGTGCCCTCTATCCCCACCCACAGGGAACTGCCAGGTCGCAGGATCTGAGAGGAGACGGGGTGTGGAGTCTGGCGCCTTGGCAGGCCAGCAGTTGAAATTTCACTTAAAAGGCAGCAGTGAGGTGTTGAGGTTTTGGGCTGGAGGAAGCTGGGTGCTTTGGAGTCAGTCTGATGTGGGTGTGTGGAGTGGAGGGACAGAGAAACCAGTCAGCAAGCAACTGTAGGTGCCCGCAGGGAAGGGGCCACACCCGGGATGTGGGATGAAGGAGAGGCGGCAGGGCCTGGTGACTGGAAGGACAGGTCCACTCCAGAGAAGAGGCCCACCTTTTCCTTCTGGCCTTTTCTCAGGCATGAGGAATGGGGCTGGGAATGTCAGAGATGGTCATGACTTGACATTATGTTTTCCTGCGGGCAGGGTCAGCCCAGAGCTTGATTACACGGAGGCCGCTTCCCATGCCTCTACACGGCAGGTTCTTCTGTGTGAAGGAAGAGAGAAGCAGGAAGAAATTAGGGAAATGTAGCAAAGACCTTTCTCCTGACCAGGTAACTTTTTGTAAACTGACTCTGTGCGAAACACAGATTGGACTGGTGCCTTTGTCCTGTAAGTACCGTGTCGCAGTATCAGAGGTAAGTGAGAGAAGGTAACACATGGGAGGGCTACATGTCCTTTACGTGTACCTAACACTCTTGTGTTACAATTTTAAGCAATGGTATCTTCAAACAAGCCATTACGTTAAAGTAAATAACCTCATGATTCCACAGTACCTCTTCACCCCATTGGGGTGACCCTGACATCTCCATCTGTGGTGAGCGATTCAAGGGCAGGACTCATGTGCCCCATTGGTGTCTTTATTCCTGGGTCTTCTCAGAGTTTACTAGGTTGGCTTCTCTGCATGTCACAGGGATGTCAAATCCAGGGGCTGTTGGAGAAAATGCTCACCTGTGTGTCCTTGCCAGGCCCCAGCTGCTGCCTCGGGCTGAGGTCCACTCAGGATGTAGTGGCAGAGAATGGGAGACCACCCCAGGGAGAGAGGGGAGTCTCCCTCAGCTCCTCCCTGAGGTGTGTGCCTGAGAACTCTTACTCCTTTCATTCTTTGCCATTTCCCTAACCCACAGAACAATATCTTGTAGAGAAATTGAGCTCTCTATCTTTTTTTCTGGTAAGAAAAACTATTAAAAGTTTTTAAATTGAAATTGTGCATTAGATAATTTAACCAAACGGTTCCATGAACTTAACATTCTTGAACCATTTGCTCCTGTCCTCCCAGTCTTGTCAGTACATTTACCCCCCCATCCCCCACCCCCCGGTCCTACTGACGCTGTGGTTTGTGGCATAAAATGCTGTTCCAGGTGTCCTTGCTGCACCTCCAGCATGGCGGCCAGGGTGTTGCACCCAGGTACAGTCAGGGAGCGGGATGAGGGGGCACTCGCCCTACACCCCAACCTGCGCGGGGCCCAGCCTGCCCTGGACTTGAGCCTGCCGCCTAGGGCGTCTTCTGGCTCACCCGGTATTTGGCAGGGTTGTGGGGCGTGTCTGGGGTGTGTGTGTGCATGTGTGTGGGGGGGGTTTAGTGTGCGTGTAGCTCTGGCCTTTGCGCTTCTGATGTCTGTATACCTTTTCATGCATTTATTCAGCATGTTGACATAACAGCTTCCAACGAATATTTAGGTGAGTTCAGCTGTATTACTCTCATTATCTATTGTGAAGGAATGTCCACTTCTGAAGAATTTTGCCTTTGTTTTTTGGCCAGTCGCGATCTCGCTCTCTTCCCAGTGAGGTTAGTATGCACACATGCACCCTGGCAATGGTTTGGTGAAGGGGGACTCTCAGAGGCGCTGCCCCAGGTCAGCATGGTGTGCCCGCAAGGCTCTGCCTAGCCCCCTGAGGTGACAGGGAGGCTTCCCCCTGGGACCTGCGGTGCACAGCAGTGACAGAGCTACAAGACAGCAGCTGCAAGAACTGGGTGTCCGGCCTGCTGGTCCCCGAGGGTTGCCTCAGGGTCTGAGGGAGGTGTCCATGGCTTCTGCTATACAGAATTTTCATTCCTGAGCTAGTCAGCGTGTGCTTCTCTTGGCTGCCTACAGAGCGCCCGCGTGCATGGACACATGACACTGCTTTCGGTGGGTGAGTGAGCGAAGAGTGATGCGAGCGTAACCTGCCACCCTCTGCCAGGCTGTGGCAGGAGTCGCAGCAGGTTGTCTCCACTTCATCTTTGTGGTAGCAGGTGTTAGGACTACTTTCCTTTTTCACGGCTGAATGACACACCTTTGTCTGGATGACTCACGTCTTTCTTATCTATGTATCCATCTATGGGCCCTTGGGTTTTCTACCTTTTGCAGTTGTGAACATTTCTGCTGTGAACATGGGTATGCAAATATCTGAGTTCTGGCTTTCCATTCTTTTAAGGATAGACCCAGAAGTGGAATTGCTAGATCAGATAATAATCTAATTTTTAAAAAAGATTTATTTATTTATGCATATAGAACTGGGGTACAGGCCAGAGGTGCAGGGGCAGAGTGGGGAGCAGAGCAGCCGACTGACGAAGAACACTGCAGAGGGGAGCAGCAGGCGGGTCAGGAGAGGCCTGTCGTGTCATGTAGGTCACCTCTGGGGCAGAATTGAACTCATGCTGAAGTGGCTTTAGCTTCTTAGTGCTGTGCTTTAACCCTCTGCGCCACCAGGGAGGGCCCTGGTGTTTTTACAGAACTGAATTTCAGTTCTTTTTATTATTAAAAATGCTCACTGCGGATGACATGAAAGCAGCACATAGTAGGGGCTCCACAGTTGACTGCTTCCTGAAACTGGTGTTTCCCTGATGAAGGCTCAGCTGTTCCTGTGTTGGGCCAACCCCATGTCCACTGCCCCTGGACTAGGGGGGCGGGGTGCAGGTATTCCAGTGAAACCCCTTCTCAATCCCAGACTAGGGTGGTTTCTGGTGGGTCTTACCGAGGTTTCATTTCTAACCGACCAAAGTACAGGCTGAAGGAAACAGGACCCCCCACTGGGAGAAGTCACTCCCGACACAGACTAGGAGACCTGTCCTGGGTGACCTGGCACCAGTGACAGGTGCCTCTGCGATTCATGACAAAGGGGGAAGCTCCCTCTGCCTGGGGAGAAAGCTGAGTATAAACCCCAGAGAGGTGAGAGTGGTGAGAAAAGAGTGGGGTTCAGAACCTAGCATGGGCTGACCCTTGAGCCAACCCAGACCTCGGGGTAGCCCCACGCATGTTTCCACGCCCCTCTGCTTCGGCACTGGGAGCCAGGGTGGGGGACACTTAGCCCCAAACCTGGCACACAGTGGTGCTTAACGGGCAGTCGGAGGAATGAAAACAGGAAAGAAAGATGAGAATTCCAGAAGTGACAGAGCTGAGTGGGGAGACAGGATGTCACATGTCTGAGATAGCCCCCTTGCCCACCCTCATTCCACGGTCACTTCGCACCCCTTCCACCAGCACTGAGGCTGGCGCAGCCGCCTCGGACACCAGAAGAGCTGCGGCTCTGCACACAGCTTCCGATGTGTGTCGCGGAAAGGGTTTTCAGTGCGCGTCGCCCAGGACAGTCGACTCTGGAGGTTGCTGGGTGGGAGCTCGAGAGAGAAGTGGGGAGAGCAGAGGAGCCGGGATTCCGCTGGGCTCTGCAAGCCCCGGTCGCCTGCCCCACGTGTGTCCTGATGAAACAGCAAGCACGTGTGCAAGGCCGGTGCCAACCTCCAGCTTCTTCCGCAGGAAACTCCAGTGAAACTTGGCCTTTCACTAAACTTGTATTTCCAAGCAGATTGCAAAAAATGGGGGTAAAGAACAACCTGGATGAAATCGTTTTTGCCATTTTCAGTTCGTTTTCTTCCAGTGTGCCTTGCTTCCAATAGGTTTCCAGAGTATTTCGGTTCCAAAACGTCGGAGCACAGAGTCACAAAGTGGATTTTTTAAGTGTCGGGTTTCAAAGTCGGTGGCTTTGAATGTGG